TCTCATGGGCTGTGGCTTCTTAAATAAGGTCATTAGATGACTTTAAGTGATGGATTCCCCCTTCTATCAGGTGATCAGTCTTTCATGTTGTAATATTGCTTAGCTTTTTAGCATGTGTGCTGTGTTTTAGGTATTTAATAAAAAGTAAAGATTAAAGATGATTCAGAGAAAGAAATCTGGCTTCCTGGATGGTGTGCACATCTACTTTGTAGCGATGTAATCTTTGGTGATTATTATGTGGCTATATAATAGCATCGTGTATTCTACAGCCCTTTGCATATTTTAAAAATGCTTTCAGACATCTTGGATATTCTCATATTTTTACTAAAAAGAGAACTAGAGCCCTGAAACCCAAATAGTTTTCTAAACTGGTTTGTAAAGCATGTGGTACCTAATGGGTTATTATATAGCCAGCTATTTCTTTATTCAAAAAACTTGGATTCTGAATCTGGAAGTTGTGATCGTGGCATCTACTTGCCCTTCACTGTAGGGCTTCTCCCCTATACTGTTGATACAGGCCTGTAGGCTGTGCTCACTTACACCCGAGTTTGTGGACTCCATGTCCTTAGGGTTTCCTGGAGTGTATCCACCTATGTCTTAGGGGATTCAAAGGATAGGAAATTCATATTTTTAAAAGTTTCCCAGATGAGCATTAGTATTAACTGCAAGATACCTTTTTGTTTTGATGTGAAGGAACATAGATTTATCCTTAATTATGAACCTAAAGGGCTAGCTTTTAATTTTGGGTGGGGCAGGGATCTGCTAAGAAAAATAGTTAAGTTTTCCAATCTTGAAGCTTTTTTCTTTCAGGAAAACTTAGTATTTTTGAGATAATTGTAGATTTATAGGAGAGTTGCAATACAGAGAGGTATTATATACTCATTATCCAGCTTCTCTAATGTTATAATATCTTATACAAACTTGGTACAGTTATCAAAACTAATAAATTAACATTGATAAAATACCGTTAGATCAATGATGGGCTTTATTTCTATTAATGTCCCTTTTCTGTTCCAGGATCCAATCCAAGATGCATGTAGTACTCATGTCTCCTTATTCTCCTCTGATCTGTGACAGCTTCTGACTTTTCTTTACCTTTTATGACCTTGACATCTCATTTGGGTTTGTCTGATGTTATGATTAGATTAAGGTTATGGACTATGGATTTTGGGGAAGAATGCCACAGAAGTGATTTAACCTTATCACATCATATTGGGGGTATGTAATATCATTCCTGGTTGAATTTAACCCTGATCATTTGGTTATGGTGGTGTTCGTTAGGTTAGTGTTTTTCTCCTTTCCATGGTATTCATTAGAAGTTAGTCACTAAGTCCAGCCCATGCTCAAGGGGAGGGAGGAATTAGGCTCTACTTTCTAGAGAGGGAGGAGAATCTAAATTTGTGGACATATATTAAAGTTACTGCTAATTAATATTTTGGAGGAGATACTTCGAATCCATGCAAATAAAACTTCCCTCCTTGGGAAGTTTTAGCATCTGTTAGTGGATTCTGGCCTGCAGTTATTGCTGTGGTGTTCTAATGGTGATTTTATTT